TAGTGATGTTTGTAAGTGCTGATTTCTATACGACAACTAAATACAGCAAATAATTCTGGATTGGGTCCTGGAAAGGAAAAAAATGCTATACAGAACATTATTGAGAAAATTGGTGAAATTTGAACACAGACCACATGTAGAGGATAATATTGTATCCACCATTTCTAAATTTCTTGACTTTGATCATTATACCGTAGTTTCATAAAAGTGTCCTGGTTCATAAGAAATGCATGCAGGAAGTATGCAGAGTGAAAGGTCACCATGCCCATAACTGACTCTCAAATAGTTCTTTAAAAATTAGAGAGAAAGAGGGGGCGCCTGGGTGGCTCAGTCGGTTAAGCGGCCGACTTCAGCTCAGGTCACAATCTCGTGGTCCGTGAGTTCGAGCCCCGCGTCGGGCTCTGGGCTGATGGCTCCGAGCCTGGAGCCTGCTTCCGATTCTGTGTCTCCCTCTCTCTCTGCCCCTCCCCCGTTCATGCTCTGTCTCTCTCTGTCTCAAAAATAAATACAACGTTAAAAAAATTAAAAAAAAATTAGAGAGAAAGAGAGGGGAAGCAAATGTGGCAAAATGTCAATAACATGTGAATCTCGGTGAGTGGCGTTCAAGTATTTGTTGTATTGTTCTTGCAACTTCCATGGAGGGATTAAATTTTTCTCAAAAAAATCTAAAACATTCAAGAAAAAACTACTTTCGGATAAAATCAAGTTATGCCTTCTGTTGTGCATATCACATGAAACCATAGTCATCTTGGGCACTGTAGAAGAAAAATGACAGCACTGTAATTTCTAACAGATTTATTAATTGCTTCATTTCATCATCACACAGGCAAAACATCCTTTCTCTTATTTAGTTAACATAATCTATGAACTTAATAGAAAGACTTGCTCTGCAGGGAACAGTTGTAGCTTTTATAGAATACTTTAGAATGTTCTTTTTAAATGTTTATTTCTTTATTTTGAGGGGAGGAGGGGCAGAGAGAGAAGGAGAGAGAGAACTCCAAGCAGACTCCGTGCTATTAACGTGAAACCTGACACGAGGTTCAATCCCATGCCCGCGAGATCACAACCTGAGCTGATATCAAGAGTCGGATGCTCAGCTGACTGAGCTACCCAGGCACCCCTAGACTACCTTAGAATGTTCTATTATGAAGCCCTGAGAGAGGGAAAGAATCTGCAGCCTCATGGTCCCTGCTGCTTTGTTGATGCCTCATGAAGATGGCAAGACTTTGCAAGGCAGAGACTTGTGGCACACTCAGGGATACTGGGTCCCAGGGGCAGGGGCTCCAGCTTTGCCTGAGTCCTATCACCCAAGTGTATCTTGGAAGCAGCAGAACTGCTGGACTGAAAAAGGAACCAGGACCCTGTCCATTATGAGGAAAATGGGTGATGACGTAAACAACTGCAGAGCGCTGGCCTAGAAAAGACTCAATAATTGAGTTCAAATTTCCCTCCACCTCATGGGTGTCCCAAATGGAACTTAAGTTAAAATAAATAATAAGATAATGTTTCTATATTTGAATGTTTGGACTGAGATTCATTCCTATTACGTTAAGTAACATGTATTGAAATGTATGATATGCTGGGCATGTTATAATGGTTGTTTTATTTCGTTCTCACAACAACTCTATGACTTAGGTAAAATAGTCCCCATTTTACAAATGGGGAAACCGAAGCTTAGAGGGGTTATTAACTACTTGCCTGAAGTCACGCAGCAGGTAACTGGTGGAGATAGGTGAACTCGGACAGGCTGACTCCAGAGTCTCGGTGCTTAGCCCCTCCACCATGCTTACAGGTGGCTACCCACCTAGCCATAAGGCCAGTCCTCCCCCTAGCAATACCCGCTACAGACTAGGGCCTGTGATCTATTAAGGGAAGATGCGACTCTGCGATGTAACAGAAATGTAAGAAATCTATCCCAGCTCAACAGAACACAAGAAAATCATTAATTCCATCCCTTTCAATAGGCAGCCAAATTTTCCACACTGCGGATGACTAAAAGATGGAGCTGATTGTGCCCAGGAGGGTGTGACAGTACTGGTACTGCCAAACGTCCTGGCTGGTGATGCCCTCCTCCCCTGCAGAGAGTGGGGTTCTTCCAAACGACATTGGTGTTCTCCACTCCCCCCATGGACGTGTAACTTAGGTAGGTAAACCTGCCCAAGTCGCACACTGTGCCTCACCCAGGGCCTGAAGAAAGCTGGTCCCACACTAAAGGCAATTTGTGAAACATAATTACTTGCAGATTCCTTCTGGAGCCGCTTAAGCTCCTTGAGGTCTCAGATGTGTGGCCAGGCTAGAACTCTTCTTGGCAGCTAAGGATCCTTCTGCCTCCAGCTGGAGAGGAGGTCCAAATGACCGAAACCAAGGGCATCACTCAGATGGAGTTTGGCCTTCCCAAGACTTGGTGGGGCAGGCTCAGATGCATGAATGGGGCTTTGGGGAGCCTACCCTTTCAGCAGATCCAAACCACACAGATCACAGAGATCTGCGGAAAATAATGTCTTTTTCATGAGCGGACTGAGCATTAGTGATAGTCTCCATTTGGCTTGATGGCACTCTGAGTGGGGAAATGAAAGTCTTTTCTCTCAGTAAAAGGGGTAGCATGGTCAACAAAACTCATGCCCAGTAACCTACTGGAAAGGCTTGGCCCAGATAACATTTGTTTTCTGTTGAGAGAAGCACAGCAGGCTTTGATTCTGCTACTGTAGTGTTTGCAATTATATTTATTATCTATTATGGGTCAAATCACAAAACTATAATGGATACAGCTACATACAAATTTGATTACCCCCCAAACCCTGAGACATAGCTGTCATGTATCTCATTTTACAAATAAGTAACCAAGTTAATATAAGCCTGACATGATTTTAATTTTAATCCAGTTCAAATCAAAGTTAGAAGCAGAGGACATTCGACAACATGGACAAATCTCATAGACATCGAACAAAAGGAAAGAAGGCAGACAGGAAAGAGTGCATACTATATGATTCTATTGGTATGACATACAAGAACAGGAAAAACTAATCTATGGCGACAGAAATCAGAAGAGTGGTTACTTCTGGGAGTGTGGTATTGACTGGAAAGGGGCATGAGGGAGCCCCTAGGGATGCTGGAAACTTTCTAGGTCTTGATTTCAGTGGTAGTTCCACAGGTGTATTCAAATGTACAAAATAATTGAGCTGTGCTTTTAAGATTTGTGCACTTTATTAAGTTGTCTCAAAAAAGAGGTCACAATTAATTTATGAGAAAAGAGCCAAGAATGCACAAGGGGAAAGGATAGTCTCTTCAATAAAGAGTACTGGGGAAAACGGATAACCACATGCAAAAGAAAGACAATTCCCATTTCACATATATGCAAAAATGTACTTGAAATGGGTTACAAACTTGGATTCCCCAGCTTCTTGGATTTTTTTTTTTTTTGCCTCTTGGATTTTTTTAAATTCATATTTTATATTTAAAATGGATATGTGCATTGAAAAAGATCCATTTCAGTGTGATAAAATTAGACCTTAGCAAGAAAAGCATGTCCCTCCCAAAATAAATTTCTCTTCTGGAAGTTTCAAAACACACTTTTCATTAATTTTGGGGGTATCCTACTCTGCTCCTGCTCCCACCTGTGACTCCTGCCCTGCAGCTACTGAGGGCTATTCTTTGAACACTCCATGCCTTGTCTATCTTCAGTATGCCTTTGCCCATGCTGGTCCTTCTTCCCGGAACAGTCTTATCCCTTCTCCCTACATGATGGATATCTATGGCTTCTTTAATACCTAGCACAATTATCACTTCCTCAGCAAGCCTTCCCCCTAAATGCCTCAGGTGAAATTTACTCCCTCAACTGTTGTACCCTCGTAACTCTGCGTAATTATTTACTTATACTTGTTTCTCCACCTAACTGTGAGCAGTTTGTCAAAGACAGAGCCTGTGTCATGTTCACTGTTCTGTCCCTAGTGTCTACCATATTGTAAGTGATCAATAAATGTTTGTTGAATGAATAAAATAATTTCTTGATCTGCAACGTGGATTAAGAACACATAACCCTAAGTATGCTCACTGTGGAGAAGCAATTATGAACTCTATACATCTGGGGCTGCCAGAGCCATCTGGAGAAGCACCATCAGATTCTCAAGGTCCAAAAACTCCTGTACACTCCATCCTGCCCTGTGATGGTAGGTCATGGAAGGAGGCTTTCATATTTCTTAGAATGGAGCTTCCATAAACCAAATCAACCTTTTATTTTTCTAATATTCTATCTCTCAATGCCTACTTTGTATAAGTTGCAATACCATATTTCGTCAAAAACTACTATTCTTACAGGTGGCAGATAGGAATAAAGGAGACATGCTGGAAGGAGAGAATCCCATCCTCCCACACAGAACCCTTTCCCCATACCTGACAGCCTCAGAGATTAACAGACTCTCACCTAAAGGTCATTGCCGGTTTTTTGTTTGTTTGTTTGTTTTTTAATTAAGAGCTACTGATGTTTCACAACTGCAGTTTCTCTGAAGATTAGCAAATGATCTCCCGTGTCTCTTTCCGTTGTTCATTCCAATTCCCTGTGGCCCAGAGAGCAGAGGGCGGGAAAGTGTTCTGATAGGTGATTTCAATGCCAGACCCCTCTGGAGTCAGGAGCCACATTCAACAGATCAACCTAGACGGAGTTTTTTAAAGGTCACAAAGATGAAAAAGGGTAGAGAAAACATGACCTTCAAGAAAGGAAGAAGAGAACCAAACAGGAGTCTTTGCATAACATCATTCCAAATAACTGTGTAAAAGCCTCTGAAGTAAACAGGTGCTGAGTCGGATGTCTGAGTCTTAAGTTTACTAAATCATTCTATCAGTCAAGGTTCCAGCGGGACACAAATGGAACACACACACTGGGTAAGTGAAGACAAGTTTAATAAGGGATTGGGCAAACACCACAGAATGCCCCAAGAAGGAATTCCACAGGTGATACTTATACTGACCCTATTTGGCTCCCATCTCTTGCTTGTGTTGCCCAGTGGTTGGACCCAGTAGGAAGCCAGAGAGCAGGGGGCCCTGTGGACACAACTCATGCAGGTCAGCCTCCTGGGTTACAGGATGGAGAAGGGTGGAGAAGGTGGAGAGTGAGCTTTGGAGAGTGGAAACAGAAGATGTTCGGCACCCAAACGATTCAGACCACTCTCAGCACCCCGCTTTGCTGAACACCCATTGACTTAGACTCTCCCTTCTTCATTTCCTTCCACACAAAGCACCTGCACATTTCCCATATATTTTATGGCCCTTTATTTGTGTTTGATGTCCATACAGTCTCTAAATGTCTGTGCCTTGACCATCTGATGACGTCTCCCTAAACTTAGCTGTTTAGTTAACCATAGGTCAATGTGACCTCAACGAGTAAGTGACATCGGAGCCAAGAAATGAATGATAAGAAGGAGGTATCCATGCAAAGATCTAGGGGAGACCATTCTCTGCAGAAGGAAACAGCAAGTTCAAAGCTCTGAGACAGAATGGCGTTTGGAGAGCTTGAGGGACAGGCAATGCTTCCCAATGGCCAGAACCGAATGCTTCGTTCCTTGTCAATTATTGTAATGATCAGACTCCCACGCATAACACAGGGAGTCCTTCATCTTAGGTGAGGAAAGGAAGCCTCGCTTTGACAATCTTGGACCTGTTTCCTCATTCGTGAAGTGGGAAGCTTGACTGAGATTGTGCCTGAGCTCGCCTCCTACTCTAAAAAGATATGACTCTTTCATCCTATAAGGAAAAAAGATGCAAAGTGCCATCCGTTTGTTTGAAAAAGACTGCGTGGGCATCGACTGTGTCTTTACTATGGGGCCAGCGTAGCTGACGCCATCAGTGCACCAACGGCGATACCCTCGGCACTCACCTGCAAGCACCCGCCGCCTTCCACCCAGAAGTTTCCACCTAGCCTGCGTGCAAGGAAGGCCAGAGTGGCAAGGATCACCCCCGGAGCAGCCCTTGGCTGTGATGAATGGGAGGGAGAGTGTCAATACCCTGGCTTCTTCCCCTTCAGGTGGAACAGCTCTGAGGTGCGCTCCGTATGTTCTCCTACAGCTTCTCGGGGGTGTGAAGCCGCAATTGCCCACAGAGGTAGGCTGCTCTTTAACACATGCCTAGCACTGGCCTCTTTCCCTTCCGTCTTCTATCCTCACTCCTTGACTGGTGCTTTTCCCAAATAAACAACTCGTGCTCAAATCTTATTCTTAGATCTGCTTCTGAGGGAGCCCCACCTAAGCGAGCTAGTTATAATGAGGGATACCAAGGAGCATAAAATACATCTCCACCTACAACAAGTTCACCCTCTAGTTACTAGTTTTTAAAAGTAGACATTAAAGGGGAGCCTGGGTGGTGCAGTAGGTTAAGCACCCAACTCTTGGTTTCAGCTCAGGTCATGATCCCATGGCTCATGGGATCAAGCCCTGCATCAGGCTCCAAGCTGACAGTGCAGAGCCTGCTTGGGAGTCTCTCTCTCTCTCCATCTCTCTCTGCCCCTCCCCTGCTCACACACACACACACACACACTCTCTCTCTCTCTCTCTCTCTCTCTCTTTCTTTAAAATAAATAAACTTAAAAAAATAAATAAATAAAAGTAGACATTAAAGCCTTGAAATATAACTTTTGACCCAGCAGTTCAACGTCTAAGAATACATCTTTCAAAAGTAATATTTGTGCACAAAACTTAGATACCAAAATGTTCATTCCTCATCAAAGCATTGAGAATAAGAGATACAAGTAGCAAATGTCAATGTAAATGTTCAATGGTGGGGAAATAAATACTGGTACGCCCATGCAACAGAACACTATGCAGTCATTAAAACCCATGTTGTAGAATAACACTTAATGACACGGGCACGGTTCGTAGGCACAATTATTTTTTTTTTTTAATTTTTTTTTTCAACGTTTATTTATTTTTGGGACAGAGAGAGACAGAGCATGAACGGGCGAGGGGCAGAGAGAGAGGGAGACACAGAATCGGAAACAGGCTCCAGGCTCTGAGCCATCAGCCCAGAGCCCGACGCGGGGCTCGAACTCACAGACCGTGAGATCGTGACCTGGTTGAAGTCGGACGCTTAACCGACTGCGCCACCCAGGCGCCCCTCGTAGGCACAATTAAATAAACAAGGGTTACACAACAATATCTTTGGTACCTATCGTTTTCACTAACAGTAATATATATGTGCGTAGAAGAAAAATACTAGAAAGCTAACACACCGAAGGATTAACACTCGCCAGCTCTGGGTCTGTCTATATTTTCCAATATTTCTAGAAATAACATGTATTTTTTACCTTTAAGGTGATGCATTATTAGTTTACATAGTCTAAGATAGCATTTCTCAATCTCAGCATGACTGATATTTTGGAATGGATCATTCTTTGTGGCGGGGCCGTCCTGTGCCCTGTGGGATGTTTAACAGCAGCACCGGTACCTGTCTTCTAGATGCCAGCGACGCCTTCCCCTTCAAACTGTGACAATCAGAAATATCTCTAGACACTGCCAAGTGTCCCCTGGGAGCATAATCACACCCAGTTGAGAACCATCGGCCTAAGAGAACCTCAAGTGGTAAACCCATGATAGCAGTTAGTGGCCATGGAATAAAGTAAGATTATTCAAAATCTGTCAGACATGCATGATTTTTTTTTCATGTTGAAGAAATCAATGTCACGTTCAACCTATAACCTAAAGTAACATTTGTTCCAGAAGAGGCCACTTCCTCAGATGTGTGATAGAAGAACTGATAACAGGTTCCGAGATACCATCGTTCAGTTTCTAGGAGGTTCAGACTTTCAAAAGTTGAAGTCACGCCAGCCTAATGGGTCACTTGCTTCCCATCTGGCCTCACACTGGACGACGGACGGGAGGTAAAAGAACACCCTGAAATGTTTGCTGTCAAAACTTCCTCAGTACCGTTACTTTCAGTGATTTAACGGTGGTTACACAGTCGTACGTAAATGCAACGGACACAAGAAAATTCCCCAAGGGGTTGGTGAGAGTTATGATATGAGCCTGAGTGGACGAGTCTGAGTCCATCAGGAAGTGTTGACTGAGCCCCCTGTGTGCGCTTAGTGCTGTTCTAGACTCTGAGGACACAGAGGTGGACACGATGTTCCAGAGGCCTACCCTGGAGAGATCCCCGTTTCTAGTGAGCAGGGGTGGGGGGCACATTTATGCGAACAGGATAATTGGATGGCGAGGATAATTAGATCACGCGCAAGAGGGCGGCTCAGCAGGAGGGAGTGTTTTTGGCCGCCGCAGCCTCTCCGAGCACCATGTGCACAGGTGACGGCATCTCTGCAAAGCCCGGAGCCAGGGAAGCAGCTGAAGCCGAGCAACCCCAAGCTAGTGAAGGAGGAGGAAGTTGGGGTCAGGTCAGGTGATCTTCGCCGGTTTGGCAGGAAGTTGGGGTTGCACTCTAATTGCAGTGCGGGAAGGTGCGGGAGGATCGCAAGCAGGGAGGACAAGAGCTAGTTTACGCTTTTGCCAGGTCGCCTCGACCCCATGCAGGGAGCGGACCGGAGCAGGACGAGAGTGTGCAGGGAGATCTGTCATTTGACCTCCACGTGAGTCCAGGTGAGAGATGCACCGGGGTGCCCAACTAGGTTGGAAGGGTGAAGGCAAAGCAGTGAGATTCGGAAGAAGATTCGGGAAATGGATGGGAAGCCTGCGTGGGCCCTGCAGCCCGGGTAAGCCGAGCCAGCTGCCGGAGAGGCGAGAGGCGAGCACTTGGGCCGCCTGAAGCTGGAGGTCCGGGGAGCGAAGCGGTGACTAATGACAGACAGCATGAACGCCAGGGCCTTGTAAACCCGTTTTTATTTTTAAATAGGCTAACGGCCAGGAAGTAGGGCATTTTGTAACTTCCTTGGGAGTCAGAGCCAAATGGCGCCAGGAGGTCCCAGCTGTGTAAGCGGCACAGAGCACAGGCCAAAGCTGGGCCGCCTCTGGGGGGAGAGCCTCATATTCCTTCTGTAAAAAATTCCTACTTGGGGGCTGATGCCTAAAACGCCACCATTTGACACTCTTTTTAGCTTAGATTTTTAGTTCAGCATGAAATACCAATTCCTTTCCCCAAGACGAAACAGAAAGCAGTGATGGAGACTGGGCCATGAGGAGCAGGGCAGGGCAATGAGAAATCAGATGGGACAGAAGGCTGGAAGTTCTGGTTCAGAAAGACCTTGAGGCACTGAGGGCGTATGTAGAGTGTAGAGTGGACGGGCTCTGGGTGGCTGCCAGTGGGTGGGCAGGCTGGAGCGGGGTGAGGGTTGCTCAGAGAGGAGGGGGAGGCCGTCCATGAGGATCCGAAAGAGCTTGCAGGAGGCCAGGAGGGCGAGCACGGCTTCTTCCCACGTTTCCTGACGTGAGCTCCAGCCTCCTCGGTCTGGTCTGCAGATTCACAGGCCCTTACCTCCTCCTCGAAGGGATCTCGGATCTCGGCTGGTCCAGCTTAGCCTTAGAGCAGGAAGGGCCCAGGGGAAGGAATCCTGAGGGGATCCTAACAGGCAGCTTTCCCAGGCTACTCTGGGGGAGGAAGGCCAACATTCAATTCGAAAACCAAGTTCCAAAACGATTATAGGACCGAGATAGTTTTGACGGCTATTGAAAACACAATCAAAGCTAATTTTCTCACTGAATTTAATCCTTTCTAATTCACTTTGCTAAAATTTTAAAAATTTATTATTATTTTTTTGAGAGAGAGAGAGAGCATGAACGGGGCGGGGGGGGCAGAGGAAGAGAGAGATGGAGAATCCCAAGCAAGAGCCCGAGGAGCCTCTCCATCCCAGACCCTGGGGTCATGACCTGAGCTGAAATCAAGAGTCAACTGACTGAGACACCCAGGTAACCCTACGCTTCGCCAATTTAAAACAAAAATCTTATAATTTGGTGATTCCCGCCCTCAAATTTGGAAGGCATTTAGATGAACATCATTGTTTTTTGGGTCTCAAGCACATTTTCCTCTACATTTCACCCTACCTGTCCAACTGCTGGGTGCGGAAGCCCTGGGAATACAGCCCAACAACTCTAGATTTGTGATGTCTTCCCTCCATTTATTTGACCTTCACTGGCTTCTCACACTTTCATTCATTCTTTCTCTCGCTTTTTAAATAAATACTTACAGAATTCCTGTTATGCATCAGTTACTGTAATAGAGGCTGTGGAGGTAGAAAAATTAGATAGTCTCTGCCCTAGAGGACCCGCCAATGGTGGGAAGAATGTACAAACAAGTCATTAAAATGTAAAGGATAAGGGACGCCTGGGTGGTTCATTCAGCTCAGGTCATGATCTAATGGCTGGTGAGTTGGAGCCCTGCGTAGGGCTCTGTGCTGACAGCTCAGAGCCTGGACCCTGCTTAGATTCTGTGTTTTCCTCTCTCTCTGACCCTCCCCCACTTGGTCTCTCTCACTCTCGCTCTCTCTCTCTCTCTCTCTCTCTCTCCCTCTCCCCACCCCCCAGATAAAAACAAGGAGGAGGATAAAACATAATAGACTTTTAAATACAGAGAACAAACTGAGGGTTGCTGGAAGGGTTGTGGATGGGGGGGGATGAGCTAAATGGGTAAGGGCCATTCAGGAAGACACTTGTCTGGATGAGTGGTGGGTGTTATACATAGGGGATGAATCACTGGAATCTAATCCTGAAATCATTATTGCACTATATGCTAACTAACTTGGATGTAAATTAAAAAATAAATTTAAAAAAATATTCTTTAAATGCAAAGAATAAGCCTTGTAATTAAGATATGTCCAAAGCACTGAAAGCATATTACTACATTTTAATTTACACTTGAATTCATAAATAAATAATTCCTATAAATTTGTTACCACGTATTTTGTAAAAAGTTTACTTAAATGCCAAAGTTTCCCAAGACAGGTGAATTTTTCCTATTTCTTATGTTAGAGTGCCATCTACTGGAAATTCTGGAGAACAGCAATCAGTGATTTGTTATGTTAGAGTGCCATCGTGTGGAATTTTCTATAATTGCACAATTGTATTTTCCCGATTTCTTGTGTTAGAGTGCCATCTGGTGGAATTTTTATGTTATTGCAGCACCAATTATTTATTTATTTTCTTTTTGTGTTGCAGTGCCGCCTGGTGGAGTTAGCGTGTAATTGCAAAACAATTTTATTTATTTATTTATTTATTTATTTATTTATTTATTTATTTATTTATTTATTATCGAACTATCTGTTTGATTGTTTCTTATCATTCATTTATTTATTTACCTATCTCTTTAGCTGTCCATTCTTTTATTTAACTAGCTAGTTGGCTAGTTGGCTACTTAGCTAGTTGGCTAGTTAGTTGGTTAGTTGGCTAGTTAGCTAATTAGTTACAGTGTCACCCAGTGGATATATTGTGCAATTGCGGATCAGAGAAGTTTTTTCCTATATCCTTAGGGTGACGCCCAGTGAAATTTTCAAGTAATTCCAAATCAGATGTTTTCCTATTACTCAAATTAGAATGCCACCTAGTGGAATTATCTTGCAATTGCATGATACGTTTTTCTCCTACTCAGGTTAGAGTGCCACCCAGTGGAATTATCTTGCAATCACATAACATGTTTGTTTTTCTTTTTTTTTTTTTTTTTTTTTTTTTTTTTTTTTTTTTTTTTTTTTTTTTTTTTTTTTTTTTTTTTTTTTTTTTTTTAAGTTTATTTTTATTTTTGGGACAGACAGAGACAGAGCATGAACAGGGGAGGGGCAGAGAGAGACGGAGACACAGAATCGGAAGCAGGCTCCAGGCTCCGAGCCATCAGCCCAGAGCCCGATGCGGGGCTCGAACTCAACGGACCGCGAGATCGTGACCTGGCTGAAGTCGGACGCTTAACCGACTGCGCCACCCAGGCACCCCAACATGTTTGTTTTTCTTACAGGTTTCCCTTGCTATCCAAAAGTTGAAGGTTCCCATGAAACCATTCCTAAGCCAAAATGGCATAAAGCAAAGAGTGTCCCCTCCCTTCCAAAAGTTCGAGTTACACCGCTTGGTCTTAGGAAGGACCTACATTAGTACATTATTACAAAAGTGAAAATCCTCTTCGGATTTCTTTCACCTAGGGAAAACAAGTACTAATGCAGTCCTCTCCAAAGAGGGAAGTGGCATAACTCACTTGTGGTTAGTTCGGGGAAAGCTGTATTCAGGTTAGAGTGCCACCTGGTGGAATTATCATGTAATTTCAGAGCACATATGTTTTTCCTAGTACTCAAGTTAGAATACCACCTAGTGGAAGTATGTAATTGCAAAACCACTGTTTTTTCTGCTACTCGGGTTAGGGTGCCACCTGGTGGAATTTTCCTACAATTACAGAACAGGTATGTTTTTAATTTCTCACGTAAGAGTCACCTGGCAGAATCATCCAGCAATTACAGAAAAAAAATGTCTTTTTGTTACTTGTGAAAGAGTCCCACCTGGTGGAATTGCTCTTTGTTAAGAAGTAGACCAGTGATCCTCAAACTTGGCATCTGGATCACCTGGAGAGCTCTTTAAAAGAAAGACTGCAGGCCCCCAACCCGAGTTTCCTATTTGGGGGGTTTGGGTTGGGGTCTGGGAATTTGCATCTCTAATGAGGTGTTGGTTGATGTTGATGCTACTTGTCTGGGACTGCACTTTGAGAAGCACTGAAATACTCCTTAAATTTTAGTTTCACACATAAATGGCTTTCTTTTCTCATGTAATTTCTGCAACTGTTTCATTTTTGGAAAACTATAGAGTTTAGGAAGCTCTGCCCTCCTGGGTCTCTCTAAAGAACTCAGGATACCTTTTGATTAAACCTACCAGTTACTTTGGATATGTTTTCGCAAACTTATCTACACAACTTTACAATGTGGGATTTTGTCTGTTTTTGTATCATAAAATCCTAGTATGGGTGCTCCCTAAATATCCGTTGGATGAATGAATGAACCAGGACTTCAACTTTGTCAGGTTGTTTGGATAAATACGACAGCTTCCTGAAACTGAAGTAGGCAGAAACTCTGTCTCCTTCCCTCCCTATCACTTCGCTGGCATGTTACAAGCAAAGAAGCCACAGAAATCTGTCCAAATCATTTATTCGTATGCAGGCCCAGAACCTGCCACACGGTTCTGTTCCCATATGCAGTTGAGGGTTCTGCTTACTCCTTTTCGGCACTGTCACAAGCTTCTTCCCAAAATGTTGATCCGCGACAGATAGAGATGACAAAGTCCTCAGTAAGCAGCAAGCGCAAGCCACTACCTCACAGGCGGTGGAGCTCTGACTTGTCAGACTCTTTCTTATACTGTGTTCATGCAAGGGCTCAGGTCCCTTGTCATCTTTTTAGCCAATAGCATGTCTTGAACACCACTTAATTCACCAACTGAAAATCATTTCTAACACTTCTTACGTGAATTGGTAACCTTTCCGGTGGAAACTTAGGGTATTTGCAGGTCCCCTAAAATATGGACTTCTGGCTAGGGTCCTTCCAATGTTAATAACCTACCCCTGAAGTGTGGCTCCCTGATTAGGGTACTTTACAGGTTAACTGACTGCCCCTAAGGTAGAGAAGATTAAAGTGAATTCCCAGACACATTTATAGCACTCCATTTACACTGGATTACGTTAAAGTAAATTGCAGGCATTATAAAGCCAAGAAATAAAAGTTTTGCTCATGCATTTATTCCCTCACTCTCCATTAAAAGTCTTACAGAGTGGGAATTTAGGCTAAAGGTCGAGAATTCTGAGTTCTGTTCTCATCCCAGAGAACTTTAGCTGTGTGATCTCAGACAAATTACTTAACCTCTCTGGGCCTTAGTGATCTCAGACAAATTACTTAACCTCTCTGGGCCTTAGTCTTTCCATTAGTGAACGAGAGACCTGAACTAGCCATTGCTAAAGCTACCCCAGCTCTAAATTGGCAAGGTTGCATTCTTTCGGAAAGACACCATGACTCACTGGCAAAGTTCTATTACCTTCCAGGCCTTCTTAGCCCGGGAGAGGATTACACCCGGAGCATCCATTGTAGGTAAGGAATGAACCTCTCTTCTGCACCTGGAATAGGAAGGGTTATGTGCTCTCCGCGAGAATTGGAAAGAGGGTCACGTCATTTTCGGTGTTCTGAGGTTCAGCTAAGAACCCCGGGGCGAGAAAGATGGCAGAACCACAAAGATCATCTCGCAGAGAACTTCGCAGTCGGGGTGCAACAGATGAGCCATAGGGGTGTCAGCATACTACTCCCCTACATTCACCGAGGCCAGAACCCGTGTGGGGCCTCCGCACTGGGGTGAGGGCAGCCTGGCAGGTTCACGCCACTGCGCCGCACAAAGAGCACCGTTCTCGCCACGCGCTGCGGCGGGAAGAAGTGTGGCGAGCACTCCCGCGTCCCACGGTGATCCTGGAAATGTGCGACTTAGACCAGGGGGTCCTGGTCCTCACCCGAAAATGATGCCCCAGGGAGATCTAAAACACAGGGCGCTGGGCAGCTGAGAGGGAGGGCAGGGCAATCGGTCTGGAACTCTCCTTGTTCGTTTGGGACTCCGCGTTCCCGGGCCTCCCCCACTTCAGCAGACGTGTCTTGTTCCGGTACAAACGCGAGTGGCTCGACGCAGCAAACGTTTATTGTTCCACAGTTTCGGTGGGGGTCGGGAATCCAGAAGCAGCCGAGCCAGGTGGGTGGGGGTCAGGGTGTCTCTGGAGGCGGCGGCCAGGACGCGGGCCGTCCGAAGGCCCGAGGGGGCCTGAAGGAGTCTGCGCGGCTCGCCGGCCCCGGGGGCCCTGTCCGCTCGGCAGCTCCGACGGGGCGGCCGCCTCCGCCCACAGCCCCGTGTCAGCTCCTGCCGGATGCCGTGGGTCACGCGGACCACCCCGGCGACAACGTGCTCGGGGGACCCCCGCGGGGATCCCGCAGGCCGGACCGGGGTCAGCGGACCGGTCCCACGTGAAACGTGCGCACACCGCGCTTGCGAAGCGCGCCCAGGGCGCGGACACCACCGCCCCGGCAGGGGCGACGGGGATCTTGTTGGCCTTCTGTTTTGTCTTCAGTTCCTCTGCTGTCTCCCTCTTTTGACTTTTTTCTTTCCAGAAAAATCACCGCTCTTCCCCTTTCCAGCCAGTCCTCCCAACCTAGGTTTCTCCGCCTTCCCCCATACATCTTTCCTTCTCTTCGTTCCCCATGTCTTTTGCTTTCATATTTATTCAGTTATGAGAAAGCCCGGCAAGATTTTGGTTTTCAGTGACTGCAAAGAACAAGTCCACGAGAAATGACAAATACACAAGGACTCTGGCCACTTGAGGTTCTAGTTCTCCCTGAAAAGACACTCATGCGCTGGAAGACGGGATCCTCTCAAAGGTCCCGGAGTTGCCAGGAGGAGGGAAATCGTTTTTCTCGATTGGGCATTGTGCTGGGTGCACGCGGCCCCATTTGGGGTAGAGGCTGTGGTGCAGGAAACCCTGCTCCCCCTGGGCGAGGCGGGGGGGGGGCTTGGTAATCACCCCTGATTCCACCCACCCTCGCCAGGAGAGTGTTCCCGGAGCCCCTTTCTATGAGGCGGCCTTGCGGTCCTGCGCTGGCTTGCCTTCAGAAAACCGCAAATTCCCTAAAATCCGGGCACTTAGGATATGGAGCAAAGTATTGTGGTCTCAGGAAATGAGAATGGTAAACATGGCTCACTACTGACCAGGAGTTGAGGCCGCCTGAGCTCCTCCCCAAACAGGCTGCACCTGCCCCACCTGCGAGCTCGCGGGCAATGCGAAGTCCTTCTCCCAGCTCCCGAAAGCAGAAAGCCGAAAGCCGGGGCAGCCCCGACAGGCCGCGCTCGGACTGGTGAGGCTCATGCATGCTAAGATGGAGAATCACTGGTGTAAGGAAAGCTTGTGCTGAAAGTACACGCCGGGACCTTGCTATGCATGGAGGGGAAAAAGCCGGGAGGCCCCAGCAGGTAAGACAGAAAAAATAATGGGATGTGACATAAGCTGCCTCTTTGCTTACATTTTCTAGTTCTGAACAGAGACCTGGGGTTGGCGTTACTTCCCTCGGCTCCTGACTTTCCCTCCATTTCCCCGGCTCGGTCTCCAGCACATCAACAAGGAGGAGCCCTGTGCAGCGGCATCCTTCCCCGGAAAGGACCAGGCTTCACTTTAGGGAATGATAGCTGTGTGGCCCGGGGTGGGGGTGGATCCAAATGACGACAGATGAGATAGAGGGCCAAGAACAACTCAGGGAATTTTTTGCTTTGAGTTTTGCCAAAAAGGTCATTTTTTTTATCACATTTTGGAGCCAACAAGCTTTTAAGCCCAAGAACCACTAGCTGAGTGAAGCAATGCTCGAGTGTGCCACCAGAGGTCGCCAGCAACTGCTCTCAATGCTACCACAGCCCAATGGTCCCTTTTCATAGCAAATGTTTTTAAACATCCTCTTTACTATTCTGAAATGCAACTCGTGGATAATATTACCTACCAACACACCCAATTTTTGTATATTTTAAAGACTTTAATATAAAGAAGAAAGGAAAGCAAAGTAATGTGTTACGAACTCATACCTTGGCTTGCCTGTGAATACCTAGAGCTGCAACGGAGTGGTTGGATGTTTGCCCCCGAACGCGGAATCTCTCCCTCTCTGTAACAGCTGCGGGTGTAGATGGAAGTGAGGTGTTAAGTCAGTGAGTCGAATACCACTAGCAGCTTTACCATTGGTGATAGGAGTTTTCTGCAATGGTAAACGAGTCTTGGAAGATCCCAGAACAAAACAAATTATTGACACAATCTTTCTTCAGTTTACTTGTAAATACATTTGTCTTCCTGGCCCTGCAGCCCCCCAGATCCAGCCACCCGGGGGCACACACGGGCCAGGGTAGGTATGTGCCATGTTCTCCTCATGGTGTCGGGGAAGCAAGTGAACCTAGGACACCACTTTTTCTCCGAGTCCCACTTGTTAGCCCCTTTACCACCACCCTTTGTTATAGGTATAATGTTTTCTCTGGGCCTCACTTACTGAAAAGGGTTTAACCCTTCCTAGAAGGCATAGTAGCCATATGAATCACATCCCTAAAGTGTTTGCGTGCTGTCGGACCCAGCAACTTCACCTCTAGGAATGTACCCTAAAAAAAAAAAAAATCTAGATGAGATGATCGCTACAAATATGCTCACCAAGCATGTTTATGACTGTAAAAGTGGAAAGCCATCTAATTGTGCAACAATAAGGGAGTGGTTGAATTGTAGCTACAATCTAGTATTAGGAGTTAAAAATTAGGTTGTTAAAAAGATTTAATCACCTGTGGGGAAAGGATTACAAAATATGAGTTATCTTCTGATCTCATTTCTATATACATTTAAAAAATATGTAAATGTGTCGTGACAGTGTATCACTGGGAGGTGACACACAGACTTCTTTTTAGTTTCCAGATTTTCTTCGTTGAACATGCTTTTATACAATAAGAAAAGCACTAGTTCTAAAATGATGAGGAAATGTTTCATAAAAGAATCCTATTGTAGCTGTTTGGTGAATTCCATAACTACCCCTACCTTGTGTTTGGTAAATCCCCGCTTTAGCTTTCTTTAAGATTGGCAAGATCGGGGCACCGGCTGGCTCTGTCGGTGGAGCATGCGATTCTTGATCTTGGGGTTGTGAGTTGGAGCTCCACGCTGGGTGTCGAGATTACTTAAAAATAAAAATCTTTAATTAAAAATAGATCTACCCTATGACCCAACAATAGCACTGCTAGGAATTTGCCCAAGGGATACAGGAGTGCTGATGCATAGGGGCACTTGTACCCCAATGTTCATAGCAGCACTCTCAACAATAGCCAAATTATGGAAAGAGCCTAAATGTCCATCAACGGATGAATGGATAAAGAAATTGTGGTTTATATACACAATGGAGTACTACGTGGCAATGAGA